AGGTCAGGTCACAGCGAGGTCAGGTCACCGGGGGTCACAATATGAATGTGTCGTGTGATACATGTTTTATGGTCCATTTTACATGACAAATGCGATTATGTGGGTTAGGCAGCCTTTGGGGCCAGCCTAGGTCACGTTTTTGTGAAGGTCAGGTCAAGGTCAGGTCAAATTAGGTCAAATTTCAAAATTGATATTTTTGCATAAAATGGGTATCGATTCGATGCAGCTCGTCACGGGGAGTCTAATGGTGGTCTTCGTTTTGCTCTACGAGTTCTAGAATTGCCAAAAATTGAGTTTGAAAATTTGACGTCATCATTTTTGAACAGTTTTTTCGCTATAACTTGGCCAAAAAACGAGGTATCGATCTGAAATTTGGTATGTAGATAGAAGACGGTAGACACTATCACATATATTCCGGTTTTTTCGAAACTCAAAAAACTTTTTGGATTTTTGGCGAATATATCCAAAAAAATGCTTTTTTGATTTTTGGGGGTCAAAACTCAAAAATTTCAAAAATTCGAGATAGCAGTTTTGTAGCCCTGTCAATTCTACACCTTTCATGTCTTGATCATTTTTCTGTATCTTCAAAGCTGTAGTCCTGACAGGTCTTCTCGCGAAGGTCTTTTTTCGGTCGAAAATGACAGAACATGACGTCACTCTGACGTCATTTGTGGCCAACCTATCATAGCCTCTGGAAAAATTTTTGGTCACAATGTGTAAAATTGATGCCCGGAGGGGTCCTGAAAGTTTGGTGGCGATATCTCCAGCCGTTTAGGAGATATCGACCAAAAAGGACAGGGGGGGGGGGCGTTTCGGCCCCCCCCCCTACGGGGCGCGGGTTAAGTCAATGTTGTTGCCTTCAGTGGACAGAAACTACCAAACTAGGCGATGTTTTGGAAGCAGTTTTCTGTGGCTCCGCTCTGTGTGCCCTCGGTACGGTCGGTGTCCGTCAGTCTCACCGTGCTGAGCGCCACCCCGGCCCCAGTCTCACCGTGCTGAGCGCCACCCCGGCCTCAGTCTCACCGTGCTGAGCGCCACCCCGGCCTCAGTCTCACCGTGCTGAGCGCCATCCCGGCCCCAGTCTCACCGTGCTGAGCGCCACCCCGGCCTCAGTCTCACCGTGCTGAGCGCCACCCCGGCCTCAGTCTCACTGTGCTGAGCGCCACCCCGGCCTCAGTCTCACCGTGCTGAGCGCCACCCCGGCCTCAGTCTCACCGTGCTGAGCGCCACCCGGCCCCAGTCTCACCGTGCTGAGCGCCACCCCGGCCTCAGTCTCACCGTGCTGAGCGCCACCCCGGCCTCAGTCTCACCGTGCTGAGCGCCACCCCGGCCCCAGTCTCACCGTGCTGAGCGCCACCCCGGCCTCAGTCTCACTGTGCTGAGCGCCACCCCGGCCTCAGTCTCACCGTGCTGAGCGCCACCCCGGCCTCAGTCTCACCGTGCTGAGCGCCACCCGGCCTCAGTCTCACCGTGCTGAGCGCCACCTCGGCCTGGTAGTAGTCGTAGACGGTAGCACGCGCCGGCTTGACGTCCTCGACCTCCTGCTCGCGCTGCACCACCATCTCCAGACAGCGCCGCCGGCTGTCCAGCGAGTCAAAGTAGAAGACCACCTTGTTCTTGGAGACCTCCCAGCGCTTCAGCTCTGGGTGGCACAGCCAGGGAGACGGTCAGAAGCGCCGCGCAGCGCACATTCAATGGCTACAGCGCGGCCAGAGATGAGCCCCGTTCACCCACCTTTCCTGCCAGAGAGTGTGATTTATTGCGGAAATATCTCCTTCCCTCGCAACCGTTATTTTTGGTAGGTAAGTATTTTTATTCATAAAAAGAATTGATAGACTAAAATAAGTTGAATCACAAAAAGAACATAAAGACTGCCGATGTAGTACAAGCCTAACAAGTAACATGTTTTATAAGCCTCACCGCGTTTTACCACTGGAAGTGACCATATCAGGCAAAAGTTAATGTTTGGATGAGCTACAAACTTTTACGCATGGTAGAATTTGGATTTCTGAGTGAGCTAAACACCAAGCCCAAAAGGTACCTTTTGTTTCTTGAAATAAAAGTAAATGGAAGAGACTGCCTACCTCAGCGCAGCGAAACGAGTGCTTTGTACCTATTAGGAAATGACGTAGTATGAATTCAGGCTCCTTACCTAATTCGGCGTTCTCCTTGAGAGCTTTCAAGCTGCCTTTGTTGGGAATGAAGCCGCTGACCATTTCAACTTCGACGACCGCCATGTTGCTCTCCCCTGGTTTCTCGTATCTGACGCACGTCTCTGAAAGATAAACACAGCAACGCGCTTCAATGCATGTTTTATTTTTATTCTTATTATTCGTGTTTTCCTTTCAATAAAGTTGGGATGCGCGTGCAGGCATATGCACAAAATTACCAGTGTCACAAAATAAACACATTTTAAACACATTTTGGTTGTTTTTCTCGCAAATTGAAGAAGCAAAGCTTTCACGGAATTCATAAGGCGCTCCCAACTGCTCCCAACCGAACGTTTGTTGAAGCGCTACATCGGGAATCTGAACGCTGTAGAACTATACTCAAGGCCAACTATACTCTGTTCCGTTTAAAGTTTGCAGCCGAAGTGCCCTGCTGAAAGCAGTGCGTGATTTCTGTATATACAGCTCTTACATTTTAAGACGCAAATTCTTGAGCGGAGGAGCGATCTGCCGAAGAAATTCCGACTGCAAGCTTGATATGGAACAGAGTAGGTATAGCCCAAGAAATTTTGCGGATATTTTTGTTTATAAATTTAGTCCCAACCTTTTTAATGGAAAGATGCACAAGGACAGAGTCCCCGCTATGCGAAGCATGTTCCGTTGACCCTTCCCTCTACCCTCCGATCGCGTAATCCCGCTTCTATGGCAGAATTTGGAGTCCTAAGTTTAACGTGCGCACATAGCCGCGCACGGTCAGTCCCCTCACTAACTTATGTCCGTAAAGTTGGCGACGTCGCCAGCGACTTTTCCAGCGACGAGCACCGATTTTAGCCAAAACCTCGTCCAAGGTCAATTGGACCATGAGGATCACGAAAATCGAGCCCATTCACCCCTAAACCTTGACCTTCAAGGTCAAATTCAAGGTCAAAGGACGGGGAACTAAAAAAGTGCCACTAAATATTGTCCGATTTTCCAAATTTTGGCACCAAAATGTAGCGCGTGTAAAGTTCTAGCCGCACATCAAAAACCATTTTCATCAAGGTCAAACTTCAAGGTCAAATTCAAGGTCAAAGGACGGGGAACTGTAAAAGTGGCACTAAATATTGTCTGATCTTCAAAATTTTGGCACCAAAATGTAGCGCGTGCAAAGTTCTAGCCGCACATCGAAAACCATTTTCATCAAGGTCAAACTTCAAGGTCAAATTCAAGGTCAAAGGACGGGGAACTGAAAAAGTGCCACTAAATGTTGTCCGATTTTCAAAATTTTGGCACCAAAATGTAGCGCGTGCAAAGTTCTAGCCGCACATCGAAAACCATTTTCATCAAGGTCAAACTTTAAGGTCAAATTCAAGGTCAAAGGACGGGGAACTGAAAAAGTGCCACTAAATATTGTCCGATCTTCAAAATTTTGGCACCAAAATGTAGCGCGTGCAAAGTTCTAGCCGCACATCGAAAACCATTTTCATCAAGGTCAAACTTCAAGGTCAAGTTCAAGGTCAAAGGACGGGGAACTGAAAAAGTGCCACTAAATATTGTCCGATTTTCAAAATTTTGGCACCAAAATGTAGCGCGTGCAAAGTTCTAGCCGCACATCGAAAACCATTTTCATCAAGGTCAAACTTCAAGGTCAAATTCAAGGTCAAAAGACGGGGAACTGAAAAAGTGCTACGTCACCAGCGACTTTTCCAGCGACGAGCACCGATTTTAGCCATAACCTCGTCCAAGGTCAATTGGACCATGAGGATCACGAAAATCGAGCCCATTCACCCCTAAACCTTGACCTTCAAGGTCAAATTCAAGGTCAAAGGACGGGGAACTGAAAAAGTGCCACTAAATATTGTCCGATTTTCAAAATTTTGGCACCAAAATGTAGCGCGTGCAAAGTTCTAGCCGCACATCGAAAACCATTTTCATCAAGGTCAAACTTCAAGGTCAAATTCAAGGTCAAAGGACGGGGAACTGTAAAAGTTAGAGCACTTCATGGGCCGGATAAATCCGTTATCCACGGATAAATCCGTGGACCGGATAGGATTGGATCCCAAATTTGGAAAAATAGAATGGATCTGGGCGGGCCGGATTTGGGAATTGAATGTTGAACACGGATCAGAACGGATAAAATTGTAGCATTCAATATTCATGTTAAGAATTAGGTAACTTAACTTGTTAGGCACTGCAGCAGAAGTATTAATTGATTTACATGAGATTTATAAGCATACCTTTGTGAGCCATGATAGTCTGTAAGGTATATGGCAGCACCAACCAATTTTTTAAATATAGATGGTCACAACATAAAATCTGCAGACTCAGCCATGTTCCTAACCGAGGAAGCGAGAACAACCGCCATGGCATCATATCCACCATGGCTCGCTGGTTCCTGAATAAGATACGAATCATGTAAAAAAATGTGTTAATAACTCACTCGTCCTGAGAACAGTCCCCATATAATATGTATAAAAACGATAATGCGTTCTCGAATTTTTCAATCTTCCAGACAGCAACAAACACTGCGCAAGGTTAGAAACACATGCGCAATAACAGATGCTTTTAACCAGCTGAATAAAACGCTGCAAAAAAAGTTTTAAACTTGGCGCAATGCCTCGTGGATGATTTTTTTAGAAATAAAAACGATCCAAGACGATATTAAATTCTGATGTTATCTATTCAGTGTAAATGACGCCAAAAAATATTTTCTTATCAGAAATTCAACTTAAAGGGTAAACGAATCAATATTACGTCATCAGCTCGCCTATTTCATAAAGAGAGAGCGGATCTTAAAAAATCAATCCTTGCTTGCTTTTTTTGCGCCACTATCGTCAATTTTGTTTGTGTATTGTGTTGTGTCGTCTTGTTGATACGACAAAATGCCGGTTTAACTTATCTTCCTTTCATTTTAGGACCAAAGTCAGGCTCAAGGCTATTTAATACCTACCTTTTCAGCTGGGTTTTCAGTGTCAAATTCTTTGTAGAGTGTGTCAGACCACATTCCAAGGCCAGTTTCCAAACAGTGTGTTTTGAGGTGTTTTGATTCTGCCTTTTCCCATATAGAATGTTGCCAATGTCATGAAACTTTATTTATTCATTGTATTATACTTATTATTACCTACCATTTGACTTACTAATTGATTGTGGTTTTGCTATATGAATAAGTACTCTTCCTTTTATAGACCACAGTAGATTCTTAACAATTCTAATGATAGCCAACCTTGTAAAATGCTGAGGTCCATGTCAATGTGTTACCCCTATCCTTAGCAATGCAGCTTTTACCACAAAATGTATTTTGCAGTGGCTAAGATTGCTGTTATTACAATTTGATAGCTTCCTAGTGTCCAACGTTTGGATCTTATGGCGATATGCTGATAGTCTCACAACCGGTTTGTAATGAAATTGATTATTATGGATATTTTTTGGATGTATGGCTGAGATACGGGCCATGGGCGGGCCGGATTTTGAAATTCAAAGAAACACGGATAATGGGCGGATCTGGATATGACTTGCCGGATATGGGCCGGGCCGGATCCTGAAAAGCCTATCCGTGAAGTGCTCTAGTAAAAGTGCCACTAAATATTGTCTGATCTTCAAAATTTTGGCACCAAAATGTAGCGCGTGCAAAGTTCTAGCCGCACATCGAAAACCATTTTCATCAAGGTCAAACTTCAAGGTCAAATTCAAGGTCAAAGGACGGGGAACTGAAAAAGTGCCACTAAATATTGTCCGATCTTCAAAATTTTGGCACCAAAATGTAGCGCGTGCAAAGTTCTAGCCGCACATCGAAAACCATTTTCATCAAGGTCAAACTTCAAGGTCAAATTCAAGGTCAAAGGACGGGGAACTGAAAAAGTGCCACTAAATATTGTCCGATTTTCAAAATTTTGGCACCAAAATGTAGCGCGTGCAAGATTCTAGCCGCACATCGAAAACCATTATCATCAAGGTCAAACTTCAAGGTCAAATTCAAGGTCAAAGGACGGGGAACTGAAAAAGTGCCACTAAATATTGTCCGATCTTCAAAATTTTGGCACCAAAATGTAGCGCGTGCAAAGTTCTAGCCGCACATCGAAAACCATTTTCATCAAGGTCAAACTTCAAGGTCAAATTCAAGGTCAAAGGACGGGGAACTGAAAAAGTGCCACTAAATATTGTCCGATCTTCAAAATTTTGGCACCAAAATGTAGCGCGTGCAAAGTTCTAGCCGCACATCGAAAACCATTTTCATCAAGGTCAAACTTCAAGGTCAAATTCAAGGTCAAAGGACGGGGAACTGAAAAAGTGCCACTAAATATTGTCCGATTTTCAAAGTTTTGGCACCAAAATGTAGCGCGTGCAAAGTTCTAGCCGCACATCGAAAACCATTTTCATCAAGGTCAAACTTCAAGGTCAAAGTCAAGGTCAAAGAACGGGGAACTGAAAAAGTGCCACTAAATATTGTCCGATCTTCAAAATTTTGGCACCAAAATGTAGCGCGTGCAAAGTTCTAGCCGCACATCGAAAACCATTTTCATCAAGGTCAAACTTCAAGGTCAAATTCAAGGTCAAAGGACGGGGAACTGAAAAAGTGCCACTAAATAAAGTCCGATTTTCAAAATTTTGGCACCAAAATGTAGCGCGTGCAAAGTTCTAGCCGCACATCGAAAACCGTTTTCATCAAGGTCAAACTTCAAGGTCAAATTCAAGGTCAAAAGACGGGGAACTGAAAAAGTGCTACGTCACCAGCGACTTTTCCAGCGACGAGCACCGATATTAGCCAAAACCTCGTCCAAGGTCAATTGGACCAAGAGGATCACGAAAATCGAGCCCATTCACCCCTAAACCTTGACCTTCAAGGTCAAATTCAAGGTCAAAGGACGGGGAACTAAAAAAGTGCCACTAAATATTGTCCGATTTTCAAAAATTTTGGCACCAAAATGTAGCGCGTGTAAATTTCTAGCCGCACATCGAAAACCATTTTCATCAAGGTCAAACTTCAAGGTCAAATTCAAGGTCAAAGGACGGGGAACTGTAAAAGTCCCACTAAATATTGTCTGATCTTCAAAATTTTGGCACCAAAGTGTAGCGCGTGCAAAGTTCTAGCCGCACATTGAAAACCATTTTCATCGAGGTCAAACTTCAAGGTCAAATTCAAGGTCAAAAGACGGGGAACTGAAAAAGTGCCACTAAATATTGTCCGATCTTCAAAATTTTGGCACCAAAATGTAGCGCGTGCAAAGTTCTAGCCGCACATCGAAAACCATTTTCATCAAGGTCAAACTTCAAGGTCGAATTCAAGGTCAAAGGACGGGGAACTGAAAAAGTGCCACTAAATATTGTCCGATTTTCAAAATTTTGGCACCAAAATGTAGCGCGTGCAAAGTTCTAGCCGCACATCGAAAGCCATTTTCATCAAGGTCAAACTTCAAGGTCAAATTCAAGGTCAAAGGACGGGGAACTGAAAAAGTGCCACTAAATATTGTCCGATCTTCAAAATTTTGGCACCAAAATGTAGCGCGTGCAAAGTTCTAGCCGCACATCGAAAACCATTTTCATCAAGGTCAAACTTCAAGGTCAAATCCAAGGTCAAAGGACGGGGAACTGAAAAAGTGCCACTAAATATTGTCCGATTTTCAAAATTTTGGCACCAAAATGTAGCGCGTGCAAAGTTCTAGCCGCACATCGAAAACCATTTTCATCAAGTTCAAACTTCAAGGTCAAATTCAAGGTCAAAGGACGGGGAACTGAAAAAGTGCCACTTAATATTGTCCATTCTTCAAATCTTCCTTTGACCTTGAATTTGACCTTGAACTTTGACCTTGATGAAAATGGTTTTCGACGTGCGGCTAGAACTTTGCACGTGCTACATTTTGGTGCCAAAATTTTGAAGATCGGACAATATTTAGTGGCACTTTTTCAGTTCCCCGTCCTTTGACCTTGAATTTGACCTTGAAGTTTGACCTTGATGAAAATGGTTTTCGATGTGCGGCTAGAACTTTGTACGCGCTACATTTTGGTGCCAAAATTTTGAAGATCGGACAATATTTAGTGGCACTTTTTCAGTTCCCCGCTCTTTGACCTTGAATTTGACCTTGAAGTTTGACCTTGATGAAAATGATTTTCGATGTGCGGCTAGAACTTTGCACGCGCTACATTTTGGTGCCAAAATTTTGAAGATCGGACAACATTTAGTGGCACTTTTTCAGTTCCCCGTCCTTTTACCTTGAATTTGACCTTGAAGTTTGACCTTGATGAAAATGGTTTTCGATGTGCGGCTAGAACTTTGCACGCGCTACATTTTGGTGCCAAAATTTTGAAAATCAGACAATATTTAGTGGCACTTTTTCAGTTCCCCGTCCTTTGACCTTGAATTTGACCTTGAAGGTCAAGGTTTAGGGGTGAATGGGTTCGATTTTCGTGATCCTCATGGTCCAATTGACCTTGGACGAGGTTTTGGCTAAAATCGGTGCTCGTCGCTGGAAAAGTCGCTGGCGACGTCGCCAACTTCACGGACATCACTAACTTCGCCTTGCTACGGCCTGCTACCAACCACAACCATACTTGTCAGGAGGCCTTTGAACGTCAAGCGCCCGTCGCGCTTCGAACCCGGATTGTTATAACCGGGAACGCGTGCTCTCACCACGCGGAGTCCAACGGTCTACCGACTGAGATACGGACCGGCTCAGTCGGGACATTAGTGCCGAAAGGTCTCGTACTTACCTACAACGTGCTTCAGACAGTTGGTCTGACCAGGCTTCGGCTTGGACTTCACAGAGATGCTGAGTGCGTTGCTTGGGCCCGTCTCCTTAACGTTATATTTCAGAATAGCCTGCAAAAACAACGCATATCTATGATACTGTTGAAATAGCCACCAGCCATTCTCAAAGCACAATGGATGTGATGACCGGCGTAAATATCATTGGACACAATGTTTCTCTTCAATTAATGACGTCATTCTGATAAAATTACCACGGCGATGACGTCACATGGGCGAAGCAGCGAGCGAACAGCCAATAACCAACCATTGTCCCCCTCAGACCGGTCCCCAGCACGGTAGTATGATCCACCACCCAGCCATAGCGCCTTCGGTGGTCTGGTGTTCATTGTTGATATATAATCCGCTTTGTTGTGTGTAAATAAAGCAATGTTTTCAAGCCATTGCTGGTTTAATGCGATACGGCAGCATAGGACATTACGCAACGGCAAAATACAAATAAAGTGTTGAGCTTAGGCATCGAAACGATCGTTTCCGATATCATATTACCCATAAACGAAAGTATTACTCCATGATAAAAAGCATAGGTATTCAATTAGTTTAACAAGGGTTTTTGCTGCGTACAGCCCTCTGCTCACTGCGTGGTAGGTTATAGTTGCTTCAGCGAAACCGGCCAATATCTCAAAGGCTCTGCTACCGAGTGCGCGGAAGTCCTGACGGAGGGACGCGCAATACCACACAACTTTGTTTGAAGCCCTTGTTGACTAGACCTACCTCTCTGTGTCGCTACAATGCACAGAAGTCTGTATTTTCCGTCCTGAGACTAAGTTTTTTTGCCCCCCTCCTAGAACCGTCCCTGCCATGCCTTCAATGAGCTCAGCTGACAGCCGCTTACTACGGAATGGTAGTGCGAGTTGGGTGCGTAAACAGGCATGAGTCGGTGACCAGCGCAGAGGCTAAACCGGTCGGCGCGCCAGTCGGCCGGTTCCGTGGGGCAGGGAGGTGGACGCGGGCCGGGGTCACTCGGGTCAATAGCCCGAAGCTATGTCTCGGCCAGAAGCCGATCCAGACAGTCTGGCGCGACCCCACGGTTCGTCGGAAGGTCATCTCAGGCTCAAAAGAAACGGTATATACCATTCGAAAGCTGACGGTGAGCTGAATCCAAAAATGTATTTTTTATCAAAATCG